GTAGTAATATTTTAAAGTGTAATTTATTTCTTGTTTTATTGAATTAAAGGCTACCTAGGCTAGATGCCTACGTGATATAGGCGTACAGGTTCTTATAAATCACTAATTTATCTTTTTGGGAAAAGGTGATTTAGGGAATATATGCACAAAAATTGGGGCCTTAATTAAAGTGTCCTACTCAATTATAGATAAGAAAATTCTAAATGCTCCTATCTTTCTTTTGTAGTTTGTGTGATATAATTTGATTCGATATTAAATTTAAATGAAAAATATAAATTTTAAATTTTGTGCGCTTGTATATGATATAAAACATTTGTGTAGCGATAAAAAATAAAATTGAAACCATGGCCTTTTTTTTGTGTTTATTGGTAGTTTTTTGACCTCGTATAGTAGTATAATTTAACCTTATATTTTCATTGTATGAAAGGTAATTTTATATTGGATTGTTTTGTTTCTTTAGTTGAGGCTCTATCGATAATGATTTTTCTATTTTCAAGGTAAAGTTAAGATTTACATACACTTTCTTTCTCAAATTTTACTTTGTCGGATTATACTGGAGTGGTTATTGTTGTTGATGTATAAAGGTTAAAATTTCATCTATTAAATTTAGTTGCTGTCATTTCAAGGCGGAGGCATGATTTGAAATTTACGGATTCAAGATTCAATTTTTTTTTTCAATTTGAGTGTATCTCATGCGAATTGCCGTATAGAATTTGTGTGCTTACATATGTTCAACTTTATACAAGTATATATAAGTGTTTACTTATGCATACTTAAAGTTAGAAGGTCTACATGTCTACTTAAGTCAATACTAAAAGAAAATCACTTTCTTTGTTGAAGAAATTTAGAACCAAGAAGTATAACTTTCTATAATAATAACTAGTAGTTGCACGATGATCTGACAAATCAACCCGTTATCTCATATTGAGAACTCACATTCAACACATATATATACTTAATTATGACCACTACAACAAAAGAGACATTCAACAACAACATATTCTCCTGCTAACAGCAATTGAGTTAATATCATTACATTCAGAGTTGTTAAAATCTTTAACGACATTTACATAGAGTGATGGTTATTTTCAGGTATACCATAAGTACAAGCAATATCATGAGCAACTACAAATGGTTGTGGCATCATTTGAATCAGTTGCTGGACTTGGAAATGCAGCACCATTTGCAAACATAGCTATAAAAACTATGTCAAAACACTTCAAATACCTTAAAGATGCCATAATTGACCAACTCCAATTTACAACAAGCAAATCTTCACATCATATGCATGGTCAAATTAATTGTGAAAGAGCTGTTGGAATTTCTGGCAAAGGAATTTATTGCCAAAGACAAGAAACTCAACCTGTTTGGAGACCACAAAGAGGGCTTCCTGAACGTGCTGTCACTGTACTTAGGGCTTGGTTGTTTGACCATTTTCTTCACCCGTAAGTATCAATTTACGTGTCTTACTTTCTTTATTTAGTCTCTTTGGAAACGAATATAATTATCTACATAGAGCTACTTTTTAACTCCAACGGTTAACTTGGTATGTTTAAGACTATAGGATTTAAAGAGCATTTTGGTACTCGGTCTGTCCAAGATTAATTGTCATGTTTCACTTCGTCGAGAGTTAATCTGACTAATTTTTGAAGTAGAATTCGATCAGATTAACTATATTTTCAAAAACTATATGAAAAGTACTACAAGTTGCAACTTTTCTCATATCAATTTGATGAATACGTGTGTTTTAAAGCATTGGTCAAAGTATTACATAGTTTGACTTCCGAAAAAATGAAATATAACAATTAGTTTAGGATGAGAAGAGTACATTATATATAATTTTAATTTAAAATCACAAATTTCAAAGATTTTCTTTACACCGTCTTTTTAAACACGACATCTGGTCAAACTAAAACACACAAGTATGGAGAAAGTAATAACTACTCTCTTTAAAAGGAGATTTAACTTATATACAGACACTTGCAACACATTTTGGACTATTATTGACCATTATAATATCTTACTAGCTAATTTTACTAACTATATAAAGTTCATATGTAATTTTTACTTTTTAGATGATTTGATATTCTAATAATCATTTTACTAGTTAATATAAAAAAAAGTTAAAACTATTGTTTTAGGAATTCAACATTGATATGAATTTGTGTCTCCTATTTTTTTACTCACTAATATTATTATTGTTGTTGTTATTGCAGTTACCCCACGGACAGCGATAAAGTAATGTTAGCCAAACAAACTGGCCTCTCAAGAAATCAGGTTTGTACATTTTCAACATATTTTTACACTATTACTATAGTTTTAACGTGTTATAACATGTTAGTTATAATTTTTATCGGATTAATAATACGATAATATGCTTAGGTTTCTAATTGGTTCATTAACGCGAGAGTAAGACTTTGGAAACCTATGGTAGAGGAGATTCATATGCTTGAAACTCGAGAAGGTCATAATAAATCTTCCCAGAGAGAAGAACCTAGCAACAACAACAACGACAATAATAATCCGATTGAACATTTTCCTATGAGTAATTCACATGTATGTGAAAGTAACACTCCATCTACATCAACATCAAGATTACAAGACCTTCCATCAAAACGAACTCGAAATGAGTTACCAAATATTCCCAATAATATTGGAAGAGTCGCGGATTCAATAAATTTATCATATAACGGAAATTTGTCAACTGGAGTTGGTGGTGGTGTGTCATTAACGTTAGGGCTTCATCAGAACTCCGGTAATATTGGTTTATCGGAGCCATTTCCGATGAATGCAGCTCGACGTTTTGGTATCGATAATAATACGAATAGTGGAAGGTTCATTGTTGGTGGATTTGATGAACAAAATGGACAATTTGGAAGAAATAATACTATGGTTGGTGGGCAATTCTTGCATGATTTTGGTGGTTGAATGAAGAAGTTAAAAAAGCAGGACGTCTAGTGTGACATCGTTTTTTTTTGACATATTATAACATAGTTATAATATTTCGTTGTATGCTATTAATACTTGCTCTGTTATTTCGTCCAAAGCCTGGTTGAGAAAGAGTTGTGGGCTGTAAATTTAATTGAAGATTTATGCTTATTTATTTAAAGTTCTTTTAAGGATAATCATAAGGAAGATTTATGACTGAAAAAGCATAACATAAAATATGTTTATTATTTTATATGGATACTATGTGGATTTATTTTATTCTTGCTAGAACTGGATGATTAAAAATTATCATGTCCAGTTTCTTTGGGGTATTGTGTGTGTATATACTAACATATTGATGCATTTGGTATTAAGAGTCCAACTAAAATATCTTAATAATAAGGTAGAGATAAAAATTATGTGATGCAACGATGCAATAAGGAACTATAGTATTAATTACTTATCGAACACTAGAAAACTTTTTTTTGAGAAAATATTTTCCTTCGTACCAAATACACACTTAGAATTAAATATCTTTCTTGTTGTTTTCAATAGAAAGTGATTAATAGATAACAAATTATGCTATTTATCTATCTTCTTAGTTATTCTTTTTTCTTTAAAGACGGAATGATCTGAGAGGCCTTGTACCTAGCTTCGTTTGTTATTTATATTATATTTTGCTTCTTGGCTCAATGATGGAGGTTGCTTTATGCATGAGCTATCTTTGTTTGTTTTGGTTGCATGTTTTTCTTTTTTGGGCAGCTTTCCATTGAACAATCATTTCAATCTGTCTTATTTTTTTTTTTTAACTAATAAGTTCTGTGTCACTATTTCTGAGACTAATAAAATGTCTTCTTCCTAAAGAAATTTGGGAATCTTTTATAAAGGGAACAGTACTTAAAAGTTTTTTTAATTCCCCATTTTAACTTTTTCTAGTGGTGAGGTGGGCCTTTAATTTTCTCATTATTTTTCCTTAAAATTATTGGAACATATAATATTCTTTAATTTTATCGTTGTTATTATCAATTGCTTTTTTGCTTTTGATATCGATATTTTTTGTTGTTTTTACTGTTCTTATCTAATAATTTATTTTAGCATGACATTTTCATAGTATATTTTCTTTCAATATCTGATTTTGATATGTTTGTTTACGTTGTTGTAAAATTACATGCACACCACTTGTAGACTATGCTATTACACTAAATATTCTCGTTTGTCTCAATTTATGTTATTCTTTTTAAACTTTTATAGTAAATAGATTTTGAATTTTCATTCTACATATATTAAAATGATATATAATTACATAAATCTTTATAATTTATTTAGATAATAACTTTAAAAAAAAAAATCCAATTAAACAACTTCACATATCCGAATTCCGAAGTATATATCTTATGGATGAGAATATAATTGAGATGCTTTGTAATCATTTGTTTCTGTACATTTGGTGCAGTATCTTAATAATTACTGTCTTTCTTTTTTCCTTTATTCAGGGTTGTAAAAGTAAATAGTAGCTTTAGAAGAGCCATTATAAAAATATTATAAAAAAATGAGTACATTTCTCTAAAGAAAGAGTGGATATTACACTTGAATAATGGAGAAGAAGGTTAAAACCTTATAAGAATGATTTCAGAATCAACCTTGAGAGTGTCTTTTGGGTTAAACCCCACGCGACAAACTTTTGCGACTCTAGATCTAGAGTGGATAATATCTTAACAGTTAGACCAAGGTCGTTACAATAATCTAAAGAGTTATCTACAAAATTTTAAGTCATTTGGCAAAGTATTGGATTGATATTAAACAGAATAGCAACTGAAAATTGTAAAAGAACTAAGGAAGTTTGTATAGCTCCATTTAAAGTAGTGACAAGATATAGATGCTTCATAGTCCATAGAGAATGGAAGCAGCAACAACACACCAAGGTAATCCTACAAGTGTTAGTTCGGGTGGGTGATGTGTACGTAACTTTACTCATACCATAAGGTTGTTTCTAATAAATCTGTGAGTCAAAAATAGTATGAAAATGAAATACAGTAGCGAAGAAGTCAAGTAGAAAAAACAAAGCAACAACAAATAATATGGTAGCCGAAGCATAGGAAACACGCACTCAAATTAACCTTTATTATGCAACATGCATGTGGACATAGGGAGTTCTGTGTTGCAGATTACAGAATTGTTATGAAAAAACAGAATGACTGTACAAAAAGTCGTATAGACGGAACAACCTAACCTGTACAACATCTGGAAAAATACTTGTAAAATGGGAAAGCTTAGTACATCCATGACAAGTCTTGCTTGAAGGTGACCGACTTTGCAGCTCCTTGAACACCCCTTTCTGATATCTGTGGACAATCCTCTACAACCAACAAGTCTAACTTGTAAGACCCCACGAGAGGTTTTAATCCATCATCGGTCACTCCCAAACACTTCCTCAACCGTAATGTACATAATTGAGGAATTTGGCTAGCAAGCTGCATTCCGTCATCAGTGATTTCTTGGCACCTTACAAGTTCCAAGATTTGGAGATGTTGTGCTGAACGAAGAGCTTGCATTCCAATATCGTCAAAAGAATACACATGGTCAAGAGCAAGTTCTCTTATTGGACACATTTGTATTAACATAAGTATTCCGTTTAAGGTAAAGGAAGAAAATGAAGGGAACTCTCCATCAGAGAAAGACAACCTAACCGTATCAAGCAGAGAGCAGTTCTGAGCCACTGCCTTTAGACTTTCATCTGTTAACCGCAATGGATTGTTTTGTAGCAGAGGAAGGGAGAAGTCTGATGGAACTCGGAGAGAGATTGATCGAAGGTTGCTTGATTTCTGGGCCAAACATACTATGTCACAGTCCCTAACCCCAACACACATGTCTAAGTGAATCTTTTCCAAATTCTTGCACTTCCCTATTACGCATGCAAGCCCTCTCCCGGGGCTGATAACACAGTTCACTAAACAAAGTTCAAGCATGTTCTCACATGGGATCGATTGCTTTTGCCATCGGTCAACTGCTAAACGGTCATAAAGCTTCATATATCTGTAGTTGGCATCAACCTCAAATTGCAGTCTCTTCAATTTTCTCCAAGTAGGTCCAAGCTTAATCAAATCACCTTCTCCAATCACCCTACAATTCTTGATGCAGAGATCTTCAAGCATTTCATGTTTTCCGAGATATTCTAGCCACTCCATACTACTGACACTAAGACATCTAATCAGGTGAAGCACACTGAGGGCTTTGCAGCCCACAACAAGAGACAAGATGCCACAACCAGTAATTCTGGGAGCAAAGTTCAACTTCAAGGATGTAAGTTTCGAACAAGAAGCCAAGTAACTAAGACCAGCATCCGTTATGAAAGTACAATAACTTAATGTGAGGTCCTTGAGCAAAGGGCAACAACGTGAAAGGATGAGAAGACCGTTATCATCCAACTGATTCCCTAACTTAGACATCCAACCAGAGTAAATAATTTCCACTTTCTCCAAGTTATGGAATCTGTTGCATAGAGCAGTTAATGCATCACAGACAGGATGTAAACCACACCCTACGCGCATCGATATTCTCAGTCCATTATCCAATTTGTGGAAGCGTTTGCAAGTTAGGGATACAGAGTTCCTATCAGTAGTTCTTTTAATCCGTCCCAAAATCTCCAGAAGCAATTCAGCTGGTAAATTATCCATCTGGATCAAACTTCTCTATCATCAATCCAGTAATACAGTAGCAACCTGAAACGCATAAAACTAGTTTTAACAAAAGGTTTAAAAAGATTAACCTACAAAATCAAATGTAAGAGATTAAGGTGGGGGGTGGGGGATAAAACCAAGAATGTTGTTGAAATTAAACCAATTAACACCAAATAGGCTGATCTGGATTGAACCAACAGAAAAGGAGAGAAAAATGTTTTAAGTCCCTGTTATTCAGAGAACCCCTTTTTGTTACAGGGAAAACAACGGCATCAGTCGACTAATTTCAGAACATAACACTCAAATTTCTACAGCTTACCTTAACAACTTAAAGAAAGGAAAATGTCCAAGTCCTTACAAAAGGGAATACAATCAGGCTTCAACCAAATATTCAAATCTCTACATGGAAAATTTCAGAAAATAATGAACAGATAAAACAGAGGGAACTTCCAATTGATTAGATGGAAATGAACTAAGAAATACCAGTAATCGAATCCTTATTGTTAAACAAGATCGACGGGATGCTAACCACGTGAAACAGGCCACCTTAGTGTCCTAGATTTGTTTTTCTAGCTATTCTCCAACAATTTCACCTTCCATATGAATAGTCTTTTTACAAACTCACAGATAATTCACCATCACTGCTAGGAATCCACCATACTCTATCTCTTTCATCCGTGTTACCTTGATGACCCTGCATGAACAAAAGAAGATCAGTTAGTGCAGTTAACACCCAATCATTTAAATTTCTTCTCACCCTTAGTTTCCATCCTTCTTTAGGGGAGTAATTACACAACTTAGCATCACAATCAAAGAGTTAAATCTGGACACTTTAAGATGAAAAACCATTGGCTTAATGACCTCCGATGATTTCAACCATCATGACTAAATGGTGACAAATGATCGTAGATCCCTGCAGTGATACTCTTTTGTAATAAAACTATAGTAGACACAGTCTGTCATAATGTACAAATAAGCTACAGGCATAAAGTGAGGAAGCTTCAATCCTGAAAGCGCATTCTTTGTCCACTTGAAATTCTTTTAAAACATTGCAAACTCTTCAACAATACCTGCTATTTGAGGGATTGCATTTATAGTTCTCTTTATCCAGTTACAACAGAAAATGATGCTGATTCTCCGCGTGATTATCTCACATCCTCATACGTAACAACCAGACAAAGATGATCAAATATTTACTGTTGACATGATAACACTCGTAATCTTTAGCTAGCAAATGTATGTCTTTTTTATACTTTAACCAGGACGAGATAACATATTTTCAGTGCTAGGTTTAAAATCCATCACTTCAAATATAATTATAGATAACATCTAACCACATATCTTCTTTCTAGAAAAAGAAAAAGAAATGCATTACAAATAGTCGACACTATTAATCTAATCAACTAGGTATCAGTGGCGGAGCCAGGATTTTCAGTAAGGGGTATCAACGGTTGCAGTCAAAAATACAATTATGGGGGCTAGCAAGGCAAGAACACACGACCTCAAGGAACTTTTGCAACACCTTAACCACTGCACTAAACCTTTACCTTGTGTTAAAGAAATGTCAGCACTAGTATATATTTTTAATAAATCAAAATTTGACCTATATATACCATGTAATTTTCCAACGAGGGGGTGTGCAAGCGTAGCTCCGCCCCTGCTAGGTATGTTTTTTATCCTCAAAATGTGCAAAACGTATGCCTTTTCTTTTCACAACCTCTAGCAGACGTCTCTAGGCATTACAAATCTCAACTAATCCTTCCTGGAATACCCACATAAGCATTTTCAACTAAGTGTGTGTTTGGTAAAATAAGCATTTTGCGGAAATGTTCCAGTAAGTTTCTCACTTATTTTTTAGTGTTTGATCAATAACCAAAAATATATTATTCCAAGCAGTGGCGGAGCTAGGATTTTTAATAAGGGGTTCAAAATCTGAAGAAGTAAACATACGAACTAATCGAAGGGGGTTCAACATCTACATTACATAGATTAAAAGAATAATAATTTAATCATGTATAAATAGTAATATTTTCCGTCGAAGGGGTTCGGATGAACCCATACTGCTGGCTCCGCCCCTGATTCCAAGTACATTCATGGAACTTGTTTTCCGTACTTCCATCAGGGATGTCATTTTCCTCCTAGAAAAAATGTTCTCCGAATATTCTAACCAACCAAATATGGAAAAATTGGAAAATATTGTATTTACTCCATACCAAAACACACCCTAAAGCTCATTACAAATCAAACTAGAATCTTAATCCCCAAAAAATGAGAAAAAAAAAGTTTTGAACAATCGTAAAGGAACCTAATTCTCTAGATTGCATTAACAATTTCTAATTAAACCCGCAATATATAAATAAAATAGTCATAATTGAAAAAAAACAAACTATAATTCTTGGAAAAGAAACAGATTGAACTCACCTGAAGAGAGCATGAAGAAGAAAGATGAACAAATCTGGCAATTCAGTTGAGGGGTTTAAAGACACGTATATACCAGAAAACTATCAAATGTCACTATTGCCCTCAGATGGATTAGTTCTTTGAATTGAACACGTGTATTCGATGTTAATTATCAAAAATATATTAAGGTCTTAATTGTTTGCACGTAATGTCTTAATATCAAACATTCTACTTCCGATTATTGAGTTTATCTGTTTTTCAGGTTTGAATCGTAATTGTTCACATTTTAATTTTTTTGTGTGTTTGTTTTTATTATGTTATACATGATTTACATATATTCAAATAATTAAGATTTGTAATAAAGTTTGGATAATAATAAGTTGTTTATTTAAGGATTTTTACAAAGATGGACGTTTATTAATTTTATTATGTATTAGTGATTGTCGCCATCAATCCATAGTATCAACTACTAGAGCCGCTATCCACCATTATCAATTACCATCATTTCTACCATCACAATCATCGTCACTATCAATCAATACAATTGATTATCACCTTTTAAAATCATTATTACCAATTACCGTTACCACTACAAATTCTCAACACCACCATTAATTTTCACTATATATGACCAATTATCACTATTAGTTATCAATATCTTCTATCACCACCAACTCCAACTATCACCATCAATCACTACGATTGATTATGGCTAGTAGTTAATTATCACTAGCAAGATTCATATGTCAAAAGAGTAGCAAAATGTTACTAATAGTTTTAAAAATGATGATTAATGTTTAATTACTGATTTAAAATTGGTTACTTTGCTAAATTAAGGAAAAATCACCTCATATACACATTTAAGAGTCAATATTACAGGTTTTAAATCTACTTTTAAAAAATTCTTGCTTATAACAGTTTAATTACGGGTTATAACATATCACTAATTATTTATAAATTAATTAAATTTTACTTTATTAAATAAGTTATTTTTTATAATTTTATATTATTATTAAATTATTTAAATAAAGAATACCCCATAATTATCTCTTACACAATTATAAGGATTTACATTGATTATAGTTCCTTTTTTACAGTTACAAGTCACACCCCACCCCATCTAAATCCCTCACCCCACGCCAATTCCATGTTAAAAAAAACATAAATTCATCTTTCATCTCTTTCATCCATACTCCATTGAAGCCGATTTTTCAACATCTAAAAACTGATTAGGAGAAATATATTCTCCATACAATCAAAACAAAAGGGCAGATCTCTAAGTTGTAATTTTCAATAATTTTAGTATTTTGGAGAAATTTCGTTTGATAATTGTATTGCAAGAAAGTTTATTTTACCATTTTCATGGAGGTGAATCAGAGGTGTTTTGGGGTTGATCCTTTCTGGGTTTTGCTGATTTGAGTTCTTACTACGTGGGGAATGGTCAAAAATTGAATCTTTATTGATTTTGCTAATGTTTTTGGGAGATTTATGGCCATGTGTAGTGTAGATTGGAGTTTATTATAGGAGGTAAAGATGTTCTTGAAACCTTATGTTGTTTGGACTCTTGGAAAGTATTGTTGAGTGTGTGTTGTGTCCTCCAAAAGTTAATTGGGTTTTTTACTACATGGGATATGGTTAAATCAATTTAGTAGATTTTTTTGTTAAAATTGTTATATTATGCATATTATTGGTATGAAAGCTGACTTAATATACGATTTATGAATATGGTATGAATT